TTGTATGAAATTTAAAACACTGATTTATTGTATGCACTATAACTTCTAAACTATTTGTTTAATATGAACGGTGTCTTCGGCAAATTTGTTCAGAATTAAACAATCTATAATATTGTCTTTACCCCAATGCTCTACAACTAGTCAGTATACTTCAAAATAGCATTTAAAAACATATCACGTGTACAACTTTGCGTCCGCCGCTTTTGTAAAGAACTCGCTTTAAAAAAACGGCGGAAGCAAAGTTGTGTGAAATTTAACGCACTGATGTATTATAAATGCCATAACTTCTAAACTATTTGTTTAATTTGAACGATGTCTTTGGCCAATTTGTTCAGAATTAAATAATCTATAATATTGTCTTTTTCCCCAATGCTCTACAACAACTCTCTATACTTTAAAATAGCATTTGAAAATATATTACATGTACAACTTTGCGTCCGCCGTTATTGTAAAGAACTCACTTTGTAAAAACGGCGGAAGCAAAGTTGTACACCTAATAAATTTGGGCTTAATTAAAGTTAATAAATACTTTTGTAAGATCCTTTTGTAAATTAGGATCCTCCAAAGCATCCTTTAACTCCTCTGCACACAGTCGTAACTCCACCAAATGTCTGACAACCCATTTACGTTCTTCAGAGCCACTTTCAGTCTCCAAAACTAGAGCTTTGCATTGCTCGATACTATGTAGAATTTCTGGCAGAGTCGCTTTCTATAAAAAAAAAGACATTAGACTCATTGTACAATATATTTTACTAAGTCAACTTCTATTTACATCTCCTAATATCAATTGCCATTTATACTTAATAAGCCCCGAAGGAATAGCCTGAGACTCCTCTTCTAAAGATAAAGAACTATTTGAACTTGTTATTGTTTCTGGTGGATTTATTTGTATGCATATGTCTGTTGGGGCTGTTGCGTAGCCTTCACGAACACTTTCCATAATAGTAATTGTCAATTGTTTAAAATTAATTTTTGTGCGTTAATAAATATAATGTATAATGATTAATATTATTATATAATTAATATTAATATATAAATGTGTAAAAAGTGCTTTGTTATTATATAAATATTTACATGAGTTTGACAGTTCGAGCTGTCAAGCGTCCATGTTGGATTCGGAACTGTCAGGAGGACATTTTGTATTTTGCAACTGTCAACATAATATTTAATTTTGTTTAAAAAGTCATTGAAGGTTATATATATATTTGTAGATAATTTTTATTAGTTTATTAAAAATGTATAATAACGTTAATATCTTTTATTAAATTTTGACAAAACAAAGTGGAGCTGTCAAGCGTCCATGTTGGATTTGAAACTGTCAAGAAAATATTTTGATTTTGCAATTTCTTAAAATTAATTGTGCGTTTTGTTTTTAATTTAAAATGCGTCAATTAAATCATTTTTTACGCATTTATATAATAATAACAATTATTATTTACTTTTGTGTAAAATGTCAAATTTGTTTGTTTGAGCTGTCAAGCGTCCATGTTGGATTCGGAACTGTCAAGAGGGCATTTTGATTTTGCAACTGTCAACTTTTTAAATATAATTATAATAAATGTAATATTTAATTAATTTTAGCAATGCATTATCAACCTAACAATTTATTAAAAATATATTTTTGTTGTAAATTAAATATATAAAATGTTGCAAATAATAATGTTAAAATAAATATTTTTATTAACTATATGATGAATTTTAGAGTTTTCATGGAGTTTTCTTACAAGATTTTGTTCGAAAAATTTTGAAACGTTATATCATCGTTATATACAGATTTGTAGATAGTTCAATTAGCTTTCTAATGATATATAATAATATTAATATATTTAATTAAATTTAAGCAAAATGAATTTAAATATAAAACAAAGCGTTGTCCTGGGAGCCTTATAAAGATTTCAAAGTTTAACGAATTATTTTTGCATAATTATGTCCCAACACTAACAAATTGTTATATACAGATTTATAGATAATTTCATCTACTTTCTAATAATATATAACAATATATATACATTGAAACAAATTATTTAAAAAAATAATTAAAATCTAAAAAAAATGTTTGACCAAACACTATGAAATAGATATAAATCGTTGTTTAATTTCAATTTTTTAAATATATCTTTGTTCCATACCATTTAAATTGTTATATACCGATTTATAGCTAATTTTATCTACTTTCTGAACATATATAATTATAAATAAACTTAGGGATGAATTTTAATATAATAGTGCCAAATTTGAAAAAATGTAACCAATGAAATCCACCAATGGCTAACTAAATTTTCAAATTCGCAGATTTTGTTTTACTAATTTTGTTTGAAAAGTTATTAAACGTTATATGCAGATTCGTAAATAATTTGCGTGCAAAAGATAAAACTGATACTATAAAATTCATTTTGATAACAAAGTTTAAAACTATTTTGTGAAAAATTTTGTTCGAAACATGTTAAAGTGTGGTATACGTATAGTTGTGAATAATTTTATTAGCTTTTTAACGATATATAATAATATATATGTTGTATAACAAAGTTTAGCAATATGAACGTAAATATAAAAATCGTAACCAATGAAATTCACCAATGGCTAAGTAGATTTTACATTTTACACAATTTTCTTATTCAATTTTGTTTGAAAAGTTAATAAACGTTATATGCAGATATGTAGATAATTTTATTAGCTTGCTAACAATATATAATACTATTGTTATATTTTAATAATTTATAATAAAATAATCCTGGATTTAAAAAGTGCAACCGATAAAACTAATGTTATAGGACGTTGAACACTAAACCTATTTTGTTACAAATTTTGTTAAAGAAAATAAATCAAAATTTAAAATGCTTTATATATTTATCCACATATAAACATATATTTATAATATATATTATAAAAATTCATTGCAGGTTTTGATATAAAAAGTTTCAAAGAGTATACTCTTTGATACTTTTTATATTAAAACCTGCAATGAATTTTTATTTAATTTTTCATGACAACGTCTTTACTTGTCCCTTAACAAATAAAACCATATTTTTGCACATTTTGTTAAACAAGTTGAATCAAAATTCAAAATGCTTTATATTTTTGTATTGTTGCCATTAAGATCTTTCAAATGACATCAAAAAATTTTTTTTTAATTTGAATTGATAACAACTTTATTACAATCTTATTTATTTTAATTCATAATTTTTAGAACTGTTAATTTTAATTAGTTTTACATGAATCTAGAACTATTTTATGAATAATTTTGTTTAAAACGTAATTAATTGTTGTTGTAGATAATTTTATTAGCTTTTTAAAGATATATAACAATATATATGTTGTATAACAAATTTTTTGCAAAATAAACGTAAATTTATTTAAATGTAACCAAAGAAATTCATCAATGGCTAACTAAATTTTCAAATTCGCAGATTTTGTTTTACTAATTTTGTTAGAAAAGTTATTAAACGTTGTATACAGATTTGTAGACAATTTTATTACCTTTTAAACAATATATAATACTATTATTATTACGTATATATTACAATAAAATATTATACATCAATAATTTTTAGGTACATTTTTTTAAATTTGCGTTATTTCCTGATTTATTTTTATAAAACACTTATATATTAATATATTCCATTAAAAATCGTATTAAACAGTGTATAAATCTGTAATTATGGTTTTAATATTTTTCTAACAAATTTTTGAGGAAAATTAGTTAAACTTTGTGTTTTAATATTATCACTTTATAGTTGCTTGGACATTTGTTTAATATTGCATTATTTGTTATTTTTTAACTAAGTTTTAATATATTATTATATATTAATACAATGTTTATTAAAATGTTGACAAATACGCATTTTTAGATTTGTAACTGTTGGATTATTAAAAAATTACTTATAAATATTATCAGTACTTGTTGCATGATTATGAATAATTAAATAATAAAACTTAAACTTCGCAAATTTTTCTATACAGATTTGTAGATAATTTTATTACCTTTCTAACAATATATAATACTATTGTTATATTTAAATTATTTATAATAAAATAAACGTGGATATAAAAAAGAATTGGAACTGTCAAGTCGACATTTTGAATTTGCAACTTTTTAAATTAAATTATAAAGAATGTAATATTGAATTAATACAAAGCAATTTATATTTATCTATTTTTGTTGCAAATTATTTTCTGAATATTTATTTTTTTATAACACAACTATTTTCAATAGTAAAATATCCAATTTTAAAATTCACAAATAATTATTTAATGTTGTGCTAAACCATATTAAACGGTATATACAGATTTGTAGAGAATTTGATTAGCTTTCTAATGACATATAATACTCATAATATATTTCATTTATATTAAACAAATTAAATTTAAATATAAACCACGAACATTTATTTTTAACTTGAACTATTTTCAAATTGGCGCCGTCAAGCCGCCATGTTGCATTCGGAACTGCCAAGAGGACATTTTGAATTTGCAACTGTCAACATAAAATTTAATAACGATACTTAAAAATGCGAAAATGAATTAACAATTATGCGTCTATTATGTATTAGAATTAGCAAAATGCAAACACAATTTTATCTATAAGGAAAATAAATCTTTTATCAATTTGATACTTATATTATATATATATATATATATATATATATATATATATACTTATATTATATTTTAATAAATTTAAATAAAATGCATATAAATATAAACTACGAACATTTATTTATAACTTGAACTATTTTAAAATTGGCGGCGTCAAGCCGCCATGTTGCATTCGGAACTGTCAAGAAGACATTTTGATTTTGCAACTGTCAACGCATAAATATAATTATAACAAATACAATATTCAATTTAATTAACAATTTGCAATTTATACTATTTTAAGTATTATAATTCGGAAAATACAAACCTAATTTCATCTATAAGGAAAATAAATCTTTTATCTGACAGTTCTCATTGTCACCTCACGTCACGCCATTCGCCATTGACAAGTGCAGTCATATGACAGAAAATCATATGACTAAAAATTTATTGATCACAGGATAAAATCGCATTCGTACGTAATAAAATGTGGCAAAAGGTTCTAATTTATTTACTGCCCCTTGTGGCCAGCATATATTGTAATGGGGAATTAAGTGTATTAAATTCTCCAAATGGAATCCAATTCCAAGGCGAGACACCTTTACCCCAATCTTTGTTAAAGGAATTGTATTCCGTAGCCCTAGGATTGACATCGGAGCAGAGTTCTGCCGAATGGGACGGAGTGAGTAAATTAAATCCTTTTCAATTACCTAAAGCTGTAGTCACTGTAGTTGTAGAAGGCACCGATAAACTTAGTTTGGATTCGAAGAATACCTATCCTTTGGTTGTTGATGAGGAATTGGATAATACTTGGGACTCCTTGGATAAACGTTTCAAAGAACGTTATCCCTTCGATGATTTGACTCTTGTGAACTTGGAATTACCTAATGGTAACGTTAATTCTGAGCGTGTCTTTGGTGTTGTATCACCCAAACCGGTACAAAGTGATTTACCAGAGAAGTTTGTGAAAGACCTGGGTGTCCTCAACGCTTTATCTGACAAAGTCTTAGAACTAACCCCTGATGAGCGCCCTAGCCTGTTCTTCTTCCGCTTATCAACAAATTTCAAATCCCCCGAAGACACCGACAAAGCCAAAACAGAGCTCACCAAAGCCATCAAAACTTTAAGCGAAGCCTTCGACAAAACCTACAAAGGCAAAGTGCTGTTTACAGTACTAACCTCCAATGACGTCTTAACACGTAAAACAAGGCAAGCAGATGATGCCCCAAAAGAACCCGATTTCAACCTAGCTAAAGAATACAACGACTCCTACCCGGTGGTTTTTAACATCATCTTATGGTTTGGAGTAGCCTTTTTCTTCTCGCTACTAGCTATCTGTATCTCGATCTCCACAATGGACCCCGGAAGGGACTCCATTATTTACAGAATGACATCCACACGTATCAAGAAGGAGAATTAAGTTTGTGAAGGAGTGTTTTTAATTGTAAATAGATTGTTTAGTATTATTACAATGCAACGTGATCAATATTATTTAAAAATACAATATCTTTGTTGTTACATATTTGTTTAACATTCCTCATATTACCGAATTGTACATTATTTGAACCTTGATGTTTTTTTTTTTATCAAGGTTGTATATTATATTAATTAATTGTATTTATTGAATGTTTTAAATATAGTTTATGCATAAAGATATTGAAAAAGTGTTTTAGTAGCCAGAAAATTCAGGATGCTTGTCAGCAAATTTTAATAAAATTTGCACAATTTTACTATTTAAAGTTACGTAATTATTATTTCAATTTTGCACAAAATATTTGCAAAAAATAATTGCATATTATTAATTGAATAACATTCATTATAATTATATTTAAAATGTTGACAGTTGCAAAAACCAAAATGTCTACTTGACAGTTCCGAATCCAACATGGACGCTTGACAGCTCCAAATTTGAAATACTTCGAGTTATAAATAAATGTTCGTGCTTTATATTTATGCTTATCACGTTTAAATTTAGTTCAAATATATTATAAGTATTATATATCGTTAGAAAGGTAATTAAATTATCTACAAAACTGTATATAACGTTTAGAAACTTTTAGAACAAAATTGTTTAGGAAAAATGATTAAACTTTGAATTGGCACAACTTAAAATTTGTAAACTTAGACATTTTTTTAATATATGTTTTAGAAGAGAATTAAATAGGAAAACGAAGTGAAGTTCAGAATTTAGTTAGCCATTAGTGAGTTTTTGCGGTTACATTTTTTTTAAATTTACGCATAAACAACATATATATTATTATATACTGTTGAAAAGCCAATAAGTTATCTACAGCTGTGTTTTTAACAATTTAACACGTTTTGAACAAAATTATTTACAAAATATTTTTAAACTTTAAAGTGTCATTTTATATTATTAGTTTCTTCAGTTGCACTTTTTTATATTCACGATTATTTTATTATACAAAATTAAAATATCACAAAAATGATATATCTTGTTAGAAAGCTAATAAAATTATCTATAAATCTGTATATAAAGTTTAATAACTTTTCTAACAAAATTTATTACGAAAAATCTATGAATTTGAACATTTAGTTAGGATTTCATCGGTTACCTTTTTTTTATCTTTAACATTTTTTGTTCAGAAATTTCTTTATGGTTATTTATAATATTATATCTTTAGAAAGTAGATAAAATTATCTACAAATCTGTATATAACGTTTAATAACTTTTCAAACAAAATTAAATGAGAAAAATTAGTGAAATTTGAAATTTATTGGTTACATTTTTTCTAAATTTACGCTTGTTTTACTAAAATTTGTTCAAGAACATATATATTTTTATATATCGTTAAAAAGCTTACAGAATTATCTACAACTTTGTATATAATAATATTTATAATATATATAATTTATAAAGTTTCGAACAAAATTATTTACAAAATACTTTTAAACTTCGATATCAAAATGAAGTTTCATATTACAGTATCACTTTGCACAGTTGCACTTTTCTATATCCTCGATTCTTTTATTATAAAAAATTAAAATATTACTATAGTATTATATATTATTAGAAAGCTAATTAAATTATCTACAAATCTGTATATAACGTTTGAAAACTTTGCGAACAAAATTTAATACGAAAAATATGTAAACTTAAAAATTTAGTTACTCTTGGTGAAATTCTATGGTTGATTTTTTCATATTTAGCATTATTGTAAAAAACTTTAGCTCCATGGTTATTTATTATAATATATTGTTAAAAAATGGATAAAATTACCTACAAATCTGTGTATAACAATTTGTTAGTGTTGGAACAAAATTATGCAAAAATAATTTAAGCTTTGAAATTAAAATTTTTGTAAGGCGTTCACATTGTTTTATCCTCAACGCTTTATTTTAAGATTAAATTTATTCTAATATAATTTAATTAAATATATTAACGTTATTATATATCATTAGAAAACTATTTAAATTATCTTCAAATCTGTTTATAACACTTAAAAACTGTTAAAACAAAATTGTCTAGAAAAAATTGGTTAAACTTTGGAAAATTGTAAACTGAAACGTTTACTTTTATACATTTTAGTATAAAATATGTACATAAAATGCCACTTACGCCTTGTTTACGTAATCTTCGACCAAAACACACAATTAAGTAGTTTCATAAAATGTATTTATACATACTTACATCATATATACAATCAAAAAACACGAATACAATTAAATGTTATAAATCTATCAAATTAACTTCAGTACATTTGTCATTATCCGGCTTCTTATTATTAAAATCATAAACAATCTCCGAAGTGGATTGATAGATCGGATTAATCGTGACACTGTTATCAGAATCATCATCATCTGATAAATAAAATTTTGAGCCTTGTTTCGAACCTAAAGACTTCTTTCTCAAGGGGGCAATGGGTCTGTCGTGGATCCTGCTATCGCTTTTGGTTCTGTGCAACTCGTTGGCAAGTACTTGGGATCGTAGAAGTTTGGGGGATTTACTACGTCTTGGGGGCTGGGGTAGGGCTAGGTTGGTGTCGAAGGGGTTGAAACGACCCACGGATTGAGCTCGGGATTGTACGTTGTTGTTTTTGTGGTTCTCTTGGCCGAAATTGAGGTTTTCAAAGAACTCCCAAGAGTTATCGAAGGGTTTTGCTTCCGGTTTTTTCTCTGGCGAGAATTTTATTAAAGCGTTGTCCTCAAAAGTAACCCAAGAAGTCTCTTGAGCAGGCAAGTGACATTGGAAGCCTGTCTGTTGCATCCAATGATCCCCACAGCCTTTATTTCTCGGTACCATGAACAAAGGATCTTTTCCAGTACGCAAACTGATACGTTTCTGCAAACGGAACAACTGGGTCCTCCAGTACTCATACGAGGCTGTTTTGAGCACATTAATCCACTCCAAGACATGCTCTTCAGATCTGCCTGAAAAAACATGTCTTCGATCCCAATCGTTTTGGAACACAATACAAAATGCAAAAGGCATTGCCGTCTGCATCTCTAATTGTATTTGGCATTGTTCCAGCACCAGGAGCCCTAAAGGTTGCTTCGTGTTGACTTTCCCAGTATCACTTATATCAAAATAATATAGGAGGTTAGATTTTAATTTAAACCATCTCTCTTTGCAACCGTTTTGATTGAATTTGGGCCTGCTGTAATTCAGTCTTCCTTCGAGATCACATTTGGACTCGCTTAATTGAGCGATTTCTTTGTCATTAAACTTCATAATTGCAACAATAATAATACTTAGTATATACAAACGATTATTGGAGCCCTAAGTGTGTCTTTTATCAAACAAAGGATTTGTCACAAGTTTATGACGCACATTAAACGAGTAAATTATCATTATTGTTGTGTTTGGTACGTCAATAATTATGTACGGACGTTTAAAATAAACAATGAAGCCGTAAATAGCTTATTTTTGTGTAATTAAATCAACAAAAAATTAATTGGTTTTAACATAACCTTTAAAAGAACTGTCATTAAGACATTTCTAAATAAAATGGAGAGGATACTCGCTGAGTTGGAGCTGTCAAGCGTCCATGTTGGAAACTGTCAAAATTATTGATTTTGCAACTGTCAAATTATAATTTTTTTTTAATATTATTTTATTTATTTACATATATACATTATTTTCATATCTCAGTCAGACAGAGGTGCCTGGTATGAGAGATTATGAAAAACAGTTTTCATATAATATTTACATTTCATTTGACTATAATATCTATTTCATTAATATAATATCTATATATAACTCTTCAGTCTTCTTTTTCTTCAATTTCCATATAGTACTTCTTTATTTTTCTTTTAAAATTATCATTATCATTGGTCATCTTAATATAGTCTGGCAATTCGTTATATATTTTGGTAGCACTCCATATGACATTTTCTCTCAAATTCTTTTTTCTATTGCGTTCAATGTGAAAATTGTTGTGTTGTCTCGTGTAGTGTTCATGTATATCTTGATTTGTGTCTATTGTTGCACTTGTTTTAATTCGGTTAAATTTCATTTTGTGTATTAGTTTGCATTTCTCTATTTTAATTATGTTATTTAGTGAATGATTATTTGTTTCTCTCTGCAAGTATTTGGTGGGTGTTAGATGTGGTAAATTATATGCTATTTTTATGGCTTTATTCATTATTCTCTGTATGTCATTTAGGTTTGCTTTAGTTGTTTGGCTCCATGTTGTTATGCCATATAAAATTATAGGTATTATTTGCGTTTTAAGAATTAGTATTTTATTTTTTTTGCCGAAAGAGTGGATCCTTTTCAATGCCCCTGTTATTGTTCCTATCTTTCTTTTTATTTTGTTTATATGGTCTGTCCATGTCAGTTTTTCATTTATTATCAGTCCTAAGTATTTTATGCTTTCCACTTCCTCTATTGCTCTATTATTTACTTCAATTTTTAGTTTAGTGTTCTCAGTATTTTTTCTATGTTTGAAATATATGTATTTTGTTTTATCTATGTTAATTGTTAGTTTATTTTCACAATCATTTGTTAAAATTAATTGTGCGTATTGTTTTTAATTTAAATTGAGTATAAAAAGTTCTCTAATAATTACTTTTGTGCAAAATGTCAAATTAGTTAGTTTGAGCTGTCAAGCGTCCATGTTGAATTCGGAGCTGTCAAGTAGACATTTTGAATTTTGCAACTGTCAACTTTTCAAATATAATTATAATGAATTTAATATTTAATTAATACTTAGCAATTTATTTAATTTTTTTTTTATTTTTGTGTTTTAAATTAAATATATAAAATTTGTTGCTAGTAATGAATTAAAATGTTAATTAACTAGTTACTAAACTTTAGAATTCACTAATTTTTCTTACAAAATTTTGTTTGAAAAGTTTTTAAACGTTATATACAGATTTGTATACAATTTAATTAGCTTTCTAATGATATATAATAGTGTTAATATATTTACTTGAATTTAACAAAATAAATATAAATATAAAATGTATTTATAACATGAATTATTTGGAACTATCATCATGAATAAAAGATTTTAAACTAAAACAATGTGGACGTCTTACGAAAATTTTAATTTTAAAGTTTAACAAATTATTTTTGCATAATTTTGTTCCAACACTAACAAATTGTTTCATACAGATTTTTAGATAGATTTATCTACTTTCCAACAATATATAATAATATATACACATTGAAACAGATTATTTAAAAAAATAATTAAACACTGAAAAAATGTTTGACCATGAACTAGACATAAATCGTTCTTTATTTTAAAATTTCATTTTTTTTTAATATATCTTTGTTCTAAACGGTTTAAATTGTTATATACAAATGTATAGATAATTTTATCTACTTATTAGCAATATATCCCGATTAATATATCTAAAGACAATTTTCATTACAATAATTATAAACATAAAAAAAATGTAACGAATGCAATCCACCAATGGCTAACTATATTTTTAAGTTCACAAATTTTTCCTAATTAATTTCATTTGAAAAGTTATTAAATGTTATATACAGATTTGAAGAAAATTTTATTATCTTTTTAACAATATATAATACTATCGTTATATTTTAATTATTTATATTAAAATAATCGTAGATATAAAAAATGCGATCAATAAAACTATTATTATAGGATGACACTTCATTTTGATTTCAAATATTAAAACTATTTTGTAAATAATTTTGTTCTGAACTTGAAAAAGTGTTATATGCACGGTTGTAGATAATTTAATTATCTTTCTAATGATATATAATAATATTAATATATTTAATTAAATTTAAACTAAATAAATATAAATATAAACCAAAACGTTGAAGATAAAACAATATGGACGCCTTACAAAAATTTTAATTTCAAAGTTTAACAAATTATTTTTGCATAATTTTGTTCTAACACTAACAAATTGTTAAATACAGATTTATAGACGATTTTATCTACTTTTTAACGATATATTATATTGCATTAGTATAATAATGAATTCTATCAGAATAATACTAAACATATAAAAATGTAACCGAATACACCAATGCAGAAGAACGTTTTTTGAATCATTCAAATCGGACGCTTAGTTCTTTCAAAAACTGCAATTTTTTGCTCATTTAGCTCGGTATCTCCGAAACGGCCGGACCTGCCTTTGCCAAAAATTAATCAGCAAATCTCCCTATCAATAGGAATCGAATGGTAAACGAATTATTCAAATCGGATGCTTCATTCTTTCAAAAACTGCAATTTTTTGCTCATTTTTACACATTTAGCTCGGTATCTCCGAGACGGCTGGACCTGCCTTTGCCAAAAACTAATCAGCACATCTCCCTATCAATAGGAATCGAATGTTTTTTTTAACCATTCAAATCGGTTGATCCGTGCGCCCGAAAACGTGGACAAAAAATTGTATTCATAAATACAGGCAATAATAATATAATAAATTAATAGTATATCCAGTTTGTATTTTTATTAAATTTATTGTGTAAATATAAATCGTATAAAAATTATTTCAATTCGATTTGGCACTTAAATAACTCTATATTTACTTTTTTTAACATTTTTACAAATTTTATTATATGTACAATTATAAAATAAATTATTAGCTATAACTCTATTAATACTTATATTGTGTCAATATTTAAATTCTATTGCAACAATTAGTTATTATATAAACAAATCACTTGAAATATTGCATAAGATCTAAACTTAATTACCAAATTAATTAATTGATCACTTATTACTAAGAATTAATATTTATTTTCTGGACAGTTTATACTTCATGTTTATTTATTATTGAAGTAATACAATCATTTTGCTAAAGACAATTACTACAAGATAATTACTATAAATTATATTTATTTACATTTATGTTAACTTATATACTTAAACATTTTTATATGAATCCGCTTACAATTTATAATACTGCATTTTTCATTCATATTACAATTATGAATTTTTTCACGAATTGTTATTCCTAACGACAATATTTTTATTATCAAACATGCCATTTGTTACTAAAATTAATAAATATACTAGATCTAAATTTTTATAAAATTGAGATAAATTTTATCTTATTTTAGACAATTAATATTGATTTTGTTACAAAAAAATCCCAAAGTTCAAGTATGAAAAACGCTTTACAACGCTAAAGCCTCCGCCACACTCTACCGGCTGCATATAAAGTTAAAAACAATTGTTATATACAAAATGTCAAGTGTGTGTGCGGCTTTAGGCTAAAGCTTGTAACACACTGTGCAATTAAAATAACAGAAAAAATAGAAATTATATTTTGTCAGTAAGATTTATTTATATATTGAAATTTTGTTAAAGATTTTAATGAAGTGTTTATTCAAGATTTTAGTAAATTTAATTTAGTTTCTGCTAAGAAAAACGAAAAAGAGTGTTCCAGACAAAATTTTCGAGTAATTTAACTTAATGTAGAAGAATGCCCCAACAAAATTCATTTTGTCAAAGTTAATTTGTTGTTTAAATATTTTTTAAAATAGTATTTTATTATTCTAGAATGATGTAATTTGAGTATGTTACTGTCCAATGCATATACTAAGACGACAAATACTAAAATTGATGTGTATCAGAACAAAATATTTAAATATTAATACGAAGAAACCGCTATTGTAGTATTTGTAAAAATTAATAAGTTAATTTAATAAAATGTATGTAAAAAAATGTCACGAATTCTTCATATATTAAATTAATGATTTTATTGTATCTCTTGACAAAATAATTTTTTTAACGAGCTCCTCAGGACGTACGAGTCCAAAATTTTTGTATGTTATTCTCTAATATGCATATTATAATAATATAAAGTAAAAATAATAGGTTCTTTGACAACATTTTGAGTTATTAATTATTTTGTCTCCAAAGTACATAAGAATGCATTTTCAAACAATATAATTGTATTTTTTATTAATATCTAAATATTTTGTTCTGAAACTCGTCAATTTTAATATTTGTGATCATAGTAGTTCCCATTGGAGAGTGACATACTCAAATTTGAGCATTTTACAACAAATAATGTAATTTTGAAAATTATTTGAAGAATAAATTGGGTTTACACTTTCGTTGAATACTTATGACGTGTACTTTGTTCAAATGTGTAAGGATAGGTTTACATTACTTTTATACAAAATTTTGCATAAGACTTTAGTAAACTATTTATAAGGATTTTAAGTAAATTTTATCTACATTTTGTCAAGATAAACAAAAAAGAGTGTCAAAAAATTTATGAACTTAAAAATTTAGTTACCGTTGATGGATTTTATTGGTTAAATTTTTTTATGTTTATAATTATTGTAAAAAAAATTGTCTTTAGAGTTGTTTATAGGGATATATTGTTAAAAAGTAGATAAAATTATCTACAAATCTGTATATAACAATTTGTTAGTGTTGGAACAAAGTTATGCGAAAATAATTTGTTAAAGTTTGAA